ATAGGTGTTATCAAATCTTATACATGCATTCAGTAAGTGCTCAATAATTAGTGTGATTAGCTGTATTATCTATAATATGGGAAGAAACATCTAACTCACAGAAATTGTACAAGGACTAAATGGGATAACATATGTAACCGGCACCCAGAAGGACCACAGAAAGATAAATTTCCTTCTCCCTTTCCTTGGCCCCAGGTATTAGTAATTCCTCGCATTTGCATTTGGGGATATCCTTAGTCACAATAATTTAATTGGCATGAAAACATATTTAGTCAGATGTATTTCCCACTTCATCTGCTTGTGGATACAGCTCTGAGACCAGCATCAGATTCTGGACTTTCCTGTGACAAAAGATCTGTGGTCATAGTTTGTCTCTCTTTATTCTGATCCAGTAGACTATCAGAATCCCTTCCTTTTGGTCTCAAATGTCAAGGACCTATTTTCCATCAAAACTTCAGTGGTCTACAAATATGAGGCCATTTAAAATATGCTATAGATTATCATTTGCTGAACTCTGCTGAACCAACATGTCCAGCTGTCCCTTTTCACAAACAGGTATCAGCTTAAAAAAATAAGAATGGTTTTAGTTACTACTTCTTGTTATTTCTAATTGGAGAGTTTTTAAAGCATTAATTTGACCATCAGATATCTAAAGAACAGAGAACCTGTACAGAGTCTGAACTTCTTCCCCTTATCCATCTCACAAACCATACGGCATACCTGATTTTCCAGAGTTTTCAGATTTACATCGCAATTTCCTACTGTCACATTTTGTAATTCTATCTCTCCGTATTCATTAAGACTGCACAGCCGGGTTGCCATTGGACTGCCCGCTTCAATAAAAAGAAGAAGGGCAGAGGGATAAATTAGGAGTATGGGACTAACAGATACATATATACACATGTATAAACATATATACATATATAAACAACAAGCACCTTCTGTATAGCACAGGGAACTATATTCAGTATCTTGTAATGAGCTATAATAGAAAGGAATCCAAAAAAGCATATACATAAATACATATACATATATATATAACCAAAGCATTTTGCTGTACACCTGAAACTAACACAGTTTTGTGAACCAATTATGTTTCAATTTAAAAAAAAGGAAAAATAAAGACAATGTTTGCAAAGATGGGCACAGAAACCACCCGCTCCAGTACACATTTCTTTCTCAGTATTATTTTACGTTACTCCTTAAATGTACATTATTCCATTAAAATGTTATTTTACATTTACTCCTCCCATCAAGAGGTGAAGTATATTCCTTCACTTCCTGAATTTAGGCTGTCCTTACAACTTGCTCTGACCAACAAAATGTGGCAGAAATGACACTGTATGAGTTTCAAAACCTAGATCCTCAAGAAGACTTGAAGTTTTGGCTTTCACCCTCTTTGAACACTATCCTGAGACCATCATATAAGGAAGCAGGTCTAATCTACTAGAGGATGAGAGGCCACGTGGAGGAGAATTGAAGCCCTCCAGCCAACAGCCAGCACCAGTGCCGCATGTGAGTGAGTCTTGGACCTTCCAGCACAGTCCAGCTGCCACAGTCAACCCACAGGACTATGAGAAATCTCAATCTTTATTGTTTTAAGCCAGTAGGTTTGGAGTGATTTGATACAAAGCAATGGCAAAGTAAATCAGACAGTTACTACAAGAATATTTTAGGCAGACACCACCTGTCTTGATTTTTAAATCTGGAATTCAGTAGACCAGCTGACTATTTCCTTCCTTTGAAGTCTGCAAGGAAGAACTAGGGATGTAAGGACTTTGACCTGGATGCAGTGGTGGATACTAGGCTGAGAGACCAGAAACAATACGGAAAATTCCTACTAGATATTGAATTACATGTTGATGTTTCCTTCTTTATCCAACTCTTGGCAACACATGAAAGGCAAAGAGTTCTAGTGTATTGCAGTATCCACTCAATATGTGTTTGGCTCTTAACAAACCCTTGTTGAATCATTGGGTTTGTTTCCTAGGATTATCACCTGAGCCTCCCTACCTCGATGTCCTCCTACGGTTAATACTTAAGGGGCTGTTAATAGATAAAATCACCTCCAGCTGTCATTAGCGGGACAGCTGATCAGCAGGTGAATTTTCCTCAGGACCAGCATTGGGTAGCTGCTTCACAGGGCAACAGCTAGAAATACTGAAACCAGAGATTGCTTCCACAGCACTTAAAGTAGAAGGTTACAGTCACTCTTATATGATGGCTTCACCTCTACTCTATGGCATAATGAAAATTTCAAGCATATATGTAGGATGTTATTTTTTTATGTGGCCATAGTTCAAATGCATCTTTTCCTCTATATTAACAAGTATGAACCTGCCTACTTAAAATCGTTGAAAAGTATTTTGGTCATTTGCTATATAAAACCAAATTGTTAGAAGTAATTATTAACATAAAACTAAAAGCAAATCTGCTGATATTTGGAATCTATATATTTTATGGGCTCAATCTGAAATTCAAAGTTATGTATAATACACATTTTCATAATAGTTACTCAGAAAAGAAAAATAAACAACCAAATGAAAGTGATTCTCTTGTCCCAAAAAGTAATATCTATCAAATAAGTATGATGTCCTTTGATGGGTATATTACTGGTTCCTGAGTCAGTAGCACACAGTAACTTTTTGTAGCCATATCTATTTTGTAAAGTATGATGAAATATTTAAAACATATAAAACATATAAAAATTAAGACAACAGCTATCTATGGACATACCACACAGTGTAGGGAGTAAGTACCAATAGAGCTGAAGCCCCCCTTTTACCTCCTGAGCTTTTATGAAGAGGCTGGAAGGACCTATGTAAAAGTAGAACCAGGAATACTTAAGTAAGCATGATATATGCGGGCAGAGGCAATTTAGGCTCTGCAAATAGAACGCTGATCCAAATAATCTCAGAATAAATAAGGTAAAGAAGAAACAGCAGTACATGTAATTTATTTAGTGTTTCAAAGAACCCCTGACACACACAGAAATAAATATCTCAATAAAACATTTCCCCAGGGTCATTCTGACAGAAGTTCTGTCAAACACTTGTATAAATGACCTAGAATTAGCTGTGCTGTTGAGATATCTGGTTCTGCAGGGAGTGGATGATGACCCGCAGGAAGACGTGAGAGGTAGGAGGATTGGTCAGCTGAAAGTCAATGCAAACAAAGAACTGCTAAAACATTTAGGGAAAAATCATATGGCATCACGGGCTCTAAGCTGTCAGGAAAGGGATCCATGAATTTAAAGGGGTACTCTCAGAAGACATTACTCAGTCTGGCATTAAAATCATACATGTCATCAAAATCCTGGATATCATCAGGGAGCATATTAGTATCAGAAAATAGCATTTGCTCCTTTATTCTCAGAAAGCCTCTATGCAAGCAAAGCTGTCATGTTTCGGGAAAGGTATGATGAAGCTGAGACTGTTCCAAGATAGATAACTAAAATGATCAAAGAGATGAAGGGCTACTGACTGTGCACAGACTTAACTGCATCTCCACCGAGGATGAAGTCTCAAAGTAGATATGGGGTGAACCTACAGTTTTGCTAATCTTTAAAACTGAGATAAATTACATACCTCAAAGAGCAGATCTTAACCTGATCAAACCCCAGAAGATAAAGTAAGACAAACCAACTGAAGAAGAATTCAAAGGAATTTACTACTGATTTATATATTTCAGTTTTTAGGAAAATTGGAATTATGTGAGGTAACACCCAAAACTTTGAACATCACCATCCTGAAAGGGAGCCAAGCCCTTCCACAAAATCTTCCTTGATGCCTTCTCTAGGGATGATAGGAATGACCCAGCACAGCAATTCACATGCCTAAACAGAGGAGATGTTTGGAAAAACACATACCATTTACAGTGCTTGTGTCACATGTTTGCAAGGAAAATCCGTATCTTCCCACAGGGATTCTGTCAAAAGTAAAACTCCCATAGGTACTGTTTTCACAGAAATTAACTATAACAGAAAGAAAAAATGCTTTTCATCATAAATTCATCATTAATCAAAAATGTTTCATTATAAATTTTCATCACTTTCCTTTTACAAATTTCAAACCAGATAAAAGTCAAAGTTCCAAACCTATCCACATAATTTGAAAGGTAATAGAAAGCTTAAAGGACTCACTGACAAGCCAGGAACTACATATTTTCTTATATAGTTAAGTTACTACCATTTCAATAACCAGTATGTTAGATAACAAGTTTCAAATAAAATGCACACAGTGTACAACTTAGTAGAGGTGGGATGTGATCACTAATGCATCAGAAAGGATAGGAGCTCAGATTAGTTGAAATCTTGAAAATTAAAGATAAAGAGCCTACAGTGGCAAAGGGCAGCATGATGATGTGGGTTAAAGCAAAAAGCCAGTGATGGGGTATATGGGAGACACTGGCTGGTCAGAGTGTAGGAAATTATAGGGGCGAGTTTCTAGGGCTCTGAATCCTAAGCAGGCAGCAGGAGGTGTGTAATGTGTTGTGGAGCACACTGCAGATCAAGAAGCGGCTTTGAACGTTGATTCTGAGATACCACTGACTGAAGTCAAACCACTTTAATAACATTTTTTCAAGAGAAAGAAACCACTAATTTAATAACGTTTCTTCAAGAGAAAGAAAAGACAAGAATTTCATCTAAGCATATACTTGAATAGAAAGATGCATCTTGATTTCAGAAAAGTTAAACATGTTAGAATAGTGACATTTGAAGTGGGGTAATACAGCATATCACCAACTGAAAGGACCTCAGAAAATCATATTATCCATTGCCCTGTAGCAGACACTGCAGCCAGAAGGAAAAGCAACTATGAGTTTACAGAGAAACTTGACAGATGTTAAAGAGACAAGGTGTATTGAACATACAGGTAAATAGCACAAGAAGAAAACTCAGCTTTTACTATTGAGCTAATAAACAAATCTTAAATTCATTATCATTATGCCCATTGTTACTATAATCATTAATGGAAGTTTCAAAAAGCTTTGCTGCTGTCCTTATTAACACGGAAGTCACCTAAACCTCGAACCCTCGTATTATCCCAAGTAACTTACTCATTGTACATCTCAGTCCTTTCCAGTCTTCTGGACAAATGCATCTGCCATTTTCCCAGGTTCCACCATTTCTGCAGAATTCTATAGGGATGCTTGTTTGAGTAGTCAGTGTTTCTAAAGAAACAATAAATAACAGAATAGTATATGAACTGGTTGATTAGTTTCTCCTTTGGGGTCTGTGGCCTTTAATTTCTTTATGTAACATCATTACTTCAAGTACCACAGCTGAATAAATAGTCTTTGTAGTATCACCAAAAAACATATATATTGAGAATCTACACAAGTTATACAATGCTTACTAGATGTTATGCATACCAAAAAAAACTATGTTTGAAAGACACAACACCTTGCCCAAGGAGATTAGAATCCACTGAAGGAAAAAGAAGATTATATAGATGATATAGATAAATTAGACAGATAGATGGATGGATGGATGGATGGATGGATAGATAGACAGATACCAACCAAGTCAACATGCAGATTTCTAAGCGCTATAAGAACACAGAAGAGGGGTGAGAAGACAAAGGTAACCTATTCAGGGAAGTCTTTCCAGAAGAGGTGGCATCTACATCAGATTTTTAGACTAAATCTAGAAAAGCCAGATAAAGTGGGTGGCTCCAAGTAGGCAGGATACCAAGAGCAAAAACACAAAAACACGGAAAGTTCTAATGTGTCCAAGGAACAGAGAAAAGTTGAACGCATCAGAGCATTTTTTCTACGTGGAGCAACAGCAGGTCGGTCATAAACTGGATTGTGAACAGCTTTATAAACCAAGCCAGAAAGATGTAATCCTCCAGGAGCGTAGAGAGAACTTAAAACAAGGGCGTAACATAACAAGGAATGATTTTAAGGAAGATTTCAAAAGTAATACGGGCTTTTGGGACAAAATTCAGGAGGCAAAGAAGACCAGCTAAATGAGAACCTGATCTAAAACAGTAGCTCTAAGGAAATTAGGTGTCAGGCGATTCAGGAAGCCCACCTGAGACAGTTTGGTGCTAGTGACTAGATATTTTGAGTTGGAGACACTGCGGACTCCAAATTGGAAGACAGGGTGGATGGTGAACAAATTAACTAAGCTTAAAAATACAGGAGGCAGAGTTTCAGTTCCAATAATAATGGAGTATATTGTATCATATTAACCCTCCCACAGATAACAATTTTAAACTCTGGACAAATATAAAAAATATCTACTTGAGGACATTGGACAGCAATAAAAAGCAAACAGAAAGTGAAGGCTATTCCAAGTTTACACAGTCTTTCTAGTAAGGGCACTACCCACCCTGTATAGCAGGAGTGGCTGAAACTGGCAGAAAGCCACAGTCTTAACAGGTCGAGGTACGACAGGAAGACTGTTTAGGGCCACTAGACACTTGATGCTAAAAGGAAATATCCCAGAATGGAGGGAGCCATACAGAGGGGAGGCCAAATTCTGTGTGTAAATTCCCATCAAATCTGGAGAGGAAATAAAAGCATTAAAAAAATAAATAAACAGAGCTTCTGGGACACGTGGGACACTATCAAGCAGCCTAACCTATAAGCAAATTGAGCTCTAGAAAGAGAGAAGAGAAGGAATAGGGCAGATAAAATATCTGAAGAAATAACGATCAAAGCTTCTCAGACTTGGTTAAGAACTTTAACTAACAGAACCAAGAAGCTCAGCAAAGCACAGACAATAAACACAGGGACAACCGCACTTAGACACATCATGGTCAGACTCATAAATCTCAAAGATAAGGAGAAAATCCTAAAAGCAACTGGCTCCCGGCCCAGACAGTTTTACTGATGAAACCAAGGAAGAAATAATACCAATCTTATAAAAACTCTTTCAGAAAACAGAGAAAGGGAGAAACTTTCCAAATGATTTCACAGTGCCAAGATAACCCTGATACCACAATCTGACAAAAACATTACAAGAAAAGAAAATTACAGACCAATAAACCTCATTTACACAGATGCAAAAATATTTTTGAAATAGTAGCATATCAAATCCAGCAATATACAATACTGACAATTCATCATGACCTAGTGAGATTTATCCCAGGAGCACAAAGTAGGTTTAACAATAGAAAGTCAATTCATTTAATTCATCATATGACAGAATAAAGGGGAAAGACTATATGATTATTTCAATAATCTATATGATTATTTCAATAATCATAAATTCAAAAAAGATTTCAATAAAGGGGGGCAAACAGCATCTGCTGTATTTTTTAAACTCTCAGCAAACAAGGACAAAAGGGACATAAAAATCATCTATGAAGAATCTACCACTAACATCATACTTAACAGTGCACTATTGAATGCTTTCCCCCATTGAGACTGACAGAGAAGAGTTTAATATAACTGCTGTAACCAAATTTATGGTTACCAAAGGGGAACATGGGGTTGGGGATAAATTAGGAGTTTGGCATTAGCAGATACAAACTACTATATAAAAAATAGATAAACAGCAAGATCCTACTGTCCCAGCACAGGGAACTATATTCAATAGCTTGTAATAACCTGTAATGAAAAAGGACATATATGCATATAACTGAATAACTATGCTGTACTTATGAAACTAACATAACATTGTAAATCAACTATGCTTCAATAAATATATATATGAACAAAAACAAGGAAAAAATAACTGCTATAACCACTTTTATGCAACATTGTACTGAAGATGCTCACCAGTGCTATAGGCAAGAAAGAGAAATATAGAGCATAAAGTTAAAAAAGGAAGAAATAGAACTATCTTTTATTGCAGATGACAACATCAAATACATAGAAAACTTTAGGTGTCTCCAAAAAGCTACCAGAATTAATAAATAAATTTAGTAAGGCTGCATGATACAAAATAAACAAAATTATATTCATTTCCACACACCAGCACCAAAAAATGGAAAATAAAATTGTTCAATCATTTCCATTTAAATTAGCTTAAAAGTCATAAAATCTTTGGAAATAAATTTAACAAAATATGTGCAAGATCTCATTACTGAAAGAAATTTTTAAAAGCTCTAATTAGTGGAAATATATACCATGTACATATGAAAGGCTCAAATAAAAATTGAGGGAGTTTGTCACCAGTAGATCTGCCTTGTAAGAATTGTTAAAGGAAGTTATTCAGAAAGAAGGAAATGATATAGGTCAGAAACTTGGATTTACATAAGAAAAGAAGAGCACTAGCGAAGGAATAAATGAAGGTAAAATAAAATCTTACAGTTTTTTTACTCTTAATTTATCTAACAGATAACAATTTGTTCAAAATAATAGTCACAATGACATATGAGGAAATTATAGCTTGCAGATAAATGAAATGAACTACCAAAAAATGTTACAAAGAAAGAGAAGGAGGAATTGGGAATACCCTGTTACAAGGTACTGGCATTACTCATTAGGTCATATGTTGTTATTAGAAAGTGAACTCAGATTAATTGTAAATGTACACTGACTGCAAATTCTAGGGCAAACACTAAATTCTTTGAAGAATAAATGGCATTACAAAAGGAGAGAAATGGAATCATATAAAATGCTCAATTAAAACCATAAAAGGCAGAAAAAGATAATGGCACTGGAAGAAACAAAGAAAAGAACAATTAAAACAGTTACAAATATGGTAGTTATTAATTCAATATATCAATAACCACTTTAAATGGAAATGATAGAAATATACCAATTATAAGACATAGACTATAAGGTCAGATAAAAAATAAGACCCAACTATATATTGCCTATAAGAAGCCCATTTTAAATGAAAAGAAACTAATAGATTAAAAGTAAAGTTATGGAGAAAGATATATCATACTAATACTAACCAAGAGAAAGTTGGAGAAGCTATACTAATTTCAGACAAAGCAGACTTTTTTTATTGAAGTACAGTCAATTACAATGTGTCGATTTCTGGTGTGCAGCACAATGTCTCAGTCATGCATATACATACATATATTCATTTTCATATTCAAAGCAGACATTAGAGCAAGGAAAATTATGAAGAATAAAAAGGAACATTATATAATATTAAAGGGACCAATTCTCCAAGAAGAACTAACCATCCTTACTATGTATGTGTCTAACAATAGAGTGTCAAAATAAGTGAGGCAAAAACTGATAGAACTGCAAGAAAAAAAAGACAAGTCTTCTACTGTAGTTGGAGACTTAAACACCCCTCTATTAATAACTGACAGATTGAGCAACCAGAAAATTAGTAAGGATGTAGTTGAACTGAACAGCACCATGAATCAACTACATCTAATTGACATTTATAGTACATTTCACCCAAAGGTATCATAATACACATTCTTCTCAAGCTCACATGGAGTATTTACCAAGATAAACTAAATTCTGGGCCATAAAATACATCTTCACAAATGTAAAATGATAGAAATCATACAAAGTATTCTCTCTAACCAAAATGAAATTAAAGTAGAAATCAATAACAGAAAGATAACTGGATTATCTCCAAGTATCTGTAGATTAAACAATACACTTCTAAATAACATGTGGGTTAAAGAAGTCTCAAGAGAAATTTTTAAAATATTTTAATTAAATGAAAATTAAAGTGAGATACAGTGAAAGAAATGCTTAAAGGGAAATTTATAGTATTCAATGCATGAATTAGAAAAGAGGAAAGGTCACAACATTGTAAAATGACTATAACTCAATAAAAAATGTTAAAAAAGAAAAGAAGAAAGATCTAAGATAAACCATCTAAGGTTCCACCTTAGGAAACTAGAAAGAAGATCAAATTAAGTCTAAAGGAAAAGTAAGAATACAAGTAATCTTTTAAAATCAGGGCAGAAATCAATGAAGTTGGAAAGACAAAATTAATAGAGAAAAGTAATGGAACTAAAAGCTAGTTACTTGAAAAAAATCACTAAAATTGATATATCTCTAGCCAGTCTAACCATGAAAAAGAGAGAAGGCACAAATTGCTAATATTATATATGAAAGAAGGGTCATCACTACTGATCCCATGAAAAGAATAATAAAGGAATATTGTTAATAGGCATATGCACACAAATTTGATCACCTATATGAAATGGACCAATTTCTTTAAGGACACAACCTACCAAACTCATACAAGGAGAAAAACGTCATCTGAATAGGTTTATATTGATAAAGAAACCAAA